TGGGCCCGCCCCCACCGCCGCGGCCCCGCCCCTGGACACGCCCCTAACAACCCGGCTCAACGGCCCAAGGCTCGGTTAGGAGTTGCGTCGGAGCTTCCCGCCCAACCCTCCTCCAGCTCAAGAGCGGGTGACGCCGGCTCCGCCCGGCTTCAGAGACCCCCACCCCCACGTCTCCGCCTCTCACACCTCCTGCCCAGAGGCCTTACTCCTTTTCCTCAGAGTTCCCACTCTTCTTCTGGGCCCCCGTATCTAAGCCCTTCAATCCTCAGGGACCCACACATCTCCTGAGTCCCCATTCTCAGAGCAGCCCACTCTTCCTCAGAGCCACCCCTTCCTTATAAAACATCCCTTGGCTCTCAAAACCCCATCAACACACTCCATTCATCTCCAGAAGGCCCGGTCCCCCAAAGTCACTAGGGCTCCCAGCCTCCTGGCTCTTCCCTGGAAGCTTTCCATGAGGATACGGGTTTGTGGTGATGGTGGCTGGGATGTTAGAACTGAGTGATTTTCTCGACTGCAGAAGTCAGTTCTATCCACCTTTCAAGATCTGACTTGAACTTAACCCCTTCCTCCTTTATTCATTCTCTTGCTTTGCAGCATTCCAGGCCTAGAAAACCCTAGCACCTGTGGATGCTTCCAGAAAACCTACCCTGTCGTGTTCTCCAAGACAACAGATCTTCATGAGAGAGAAAAGGAACAGACTGGACGTGAATGACTCCTCCAAAGTCATGGGACTGCCTGGAGCTTGTTAGCCCTCAGCCTGGCTGCCAACCCTTCAGGGCAGGGTCTTTCTTCCCATTGCTGCTGGAGAGGAAATGCAGCAACCATCTGGTGTGATTTGATTGGGGGACTCCAAAAAAGACATCAGGGAATGGAAATGAGTGACATGGGCCACTGTAAGAACTTCAAAAGCTCCCTGAAGGAAATGCTACACTTGACTGCGGTAACAGTACTAGAACATATGGGCACCACAGATAGAGGATGCTGTGTAAAAAGGTTAGCTGCTAGCATGACACTTGCATAGAAGGCCTGAAAATTGTGGGGAACTTTGGTGTCCTTCAGACAATGGGGTAGGGGAGTAGGTGTTTGAAAGCTTCAAGGACCAGCAGAGACAAAAATTTGGTCACCTGGTAGAGAAACCTACAAGAGTGAAAAACGTGATGGGATAAAATCCCGAAGGAGGTTCAAGGAGTGTGAGTTACATCCTGGAGCATGCTGATTGCAAGAGCAGCCAGCTCAGAGCAGATGAAACAGAGCTGCCTTTTGGAGGCCAGAGAAATTGATTAGCTGCCTTGGCTCCCAAAGTGACATGTCTGTTCAACAAGCCCAGAGTTCCATGGAAGCAGGGGCTGCATCTTCCACAGGCATGTGACTGGGCACATGGTACAAGCTTCTGGCTGGGTCATCACCTCTGGAGATTCAGGCCTCGGATCCTAAGAGCCATGCAACCCACTTTGGACCCTGGTCACAGGCATGTGACTGGGCACATGGTGCAAGCTTCTGGCCTGGGTCATCACCTCTGGAGATTCAGGCCTCAGATCCTAAGAGCCATGCAACCCACTTTGGACCCTGGAATACCCAGTATCCCAGTTCATTCTTATCTCCTCATAGAGCTGCCTTAGGGCAGATGGTTTTCCCAGAGGGAAGCCCAGCCCCATTTAATATAGAAGGCCCTACATGTTTTTGGTTCTTTGGCAATGTATCTTTTTAAGTTTAAGAATTTGGCCTCTGATGGGAGGCCCGGGTTCAAATTCAGCTGTTATTCCGTGTGTGTACCGGAAGCAGGGATGTAACCCTGTCTCCTCCTCAGGTGGAAGCAGAGAATACAGATCCTGGTCTACACCATGCCTAGCAGGGTACCTCTATGAACATCTAAGAGAGGGTTCATCATCATAGGTATGGCACGGCTGAGGCCTTGGGGAGCCGTGGGGTGAGGAAGGAAAACCAGGTTGAGTTTGTGATCAAATCTGCTCTCTGTGGGAGTCTGAAGTCATTCCACCAAGGGCCTCTTTAGTCCCTCGATGCATCTCTGTGCCCTTTTGAAGCCATGTAACCATGAGTCAGATCTCAAACTCTGAACCACGGTCCTCAGATGAAACGTGTAATGATTGCAGGTGGTTAAATAATGTACCTTACGTGCTTATCAGTGTGCCAGGCAACATCAGAAGAGCTTGAGAAATGGCAACACTCATATTTTGCACCCTGTCCCATGGACCCCATTACCCCTGGCCCATAGGTGTGTAGCGTGCAGTGGGATAGACACAGCTGACTGTTAACAACCTGGACTCGGACAAAAGGGCAGGTGGGAGAGAGGGCACTCGCCTGGACCACAAACTACTCTGGGCTCCAGATGGAGACAGGCAGGCAGCAAGATGGAGGGGTGGGAACACGTGAAGACAGGCAAGAGGGAACAGGAGCAAGACTCCAGATGGAGTAACAGCCAGCCAGAGACTAAAGGGGAATGAGAATAGGCCTGAGGAGATGCCATATTGAAGGATCATTACCCAGCTAAAGCTGAGATGGACAATTCTGGGACACAGCGGCAGGCTGACTTGATGACAGAAAGTGCTTTGGAGACCTCAGAGAAAAAAAGGTTTACTCCTTAACATGCCTTTCCCATGGACACCCTCAAGTCTACACGGACAGGAAAGCCCCAGAGGCTGTAAGGGGCCACAAACCTTACTGGGCTCCCACTCAGCACCCCTCAGTCTGTGCCCCTGCAGAATCAGTCTCAGGCAGATGGTGCATCCATGGTCTGTCCTCATCAGCGTGTCCCGAGAGAGTCCTCATGTCTCCCACCTTTAACACCCACATGACCACAGACAAGGAAGCAGTCCACAGAATTTACCAGGGATGTGCCGTAAAAACAGAAAAATGTCTGTTAAAAACCCCTGAACCTGAGATGATTGAAGAGCCAAATCCCTGCACCCCATCTGACACTCTCCCGGGCACCTGGAGATGATCCTACATCCCCAGGCCCTGGAGCAGGCAGAGCTTGTGTGTCTGAGGAGGCCTGGAAGTGGTGGCATGCCATCCAGACCAAGGATCTGCTTTTAATTCTATCCCTCACATTGTTGAGCCAGGCACATCCACAAGTCATCAGGGGTGTAATCTGGTTCTTGCTATAAAGGGTAGAGTCCATCAGGGGGTGGCCATTCTCAGGGAGCATGATGCTAGTGCTGGCACCTGTCCGGGCAGAGGGTGTGTAGCGGGCAGACTTGTGGGTGGACCGGCGGAGGCACAGACAGCAGAGGAGGCGGCGGAAGGTGCGGCGCATCTCAGCATCGCGGCATGAGTACACCACGGCATTGACCAGTGAGTTGGCCTCGGCCAAGAGTAGGAAATACTTCTCCACAGCCAGGACGTTGCAAGACTTGCAGTCCAGACCATCCAGGAGCAGCACCACCTGACCCGGTGTCCAGCAGACAACAAATGCCCCTGTGGGATGGAACCTGAGGTGAGCAGGGCCAGCTGTTGGGGGGCCTGCCACACAAAGTTCTGAGCTCAGGGCTGGCGGGAGGTTGTCGAGAACTTGGACAACGGTTGTGGTTCGCAGTGCCACGGCAGCCTACCTTGCTGCCTTGGCAGCATGATGGGACAGAATTGCTAAGAGGGGACACCTTTCTCATTTGTCTGCTAGAAGGGACACCTTTCTTAATTGGTACACCGTGGCTAGAGCCCTGTAGGTTTCTACATGGAGATTTGTTCTATGGGGGAAAGGAGATCACCGTGGGACAGGCCAGTTACTCGAGGGGGGAGGGGATCGTTGGGAAGAGTTGCTCCATATTCTTGGGGTGGGGGGGTATATCCTAATGGGAGGGCCTCTTGCCACCTCCCCCACATAGATCATCCTAAATTTCAACAGCCAGAGTGACCGTTACTCCCTGCTAAAAACTCATAAGGGCTTCCCACTGACCTCAGAACAAAATCAGACTCCTATCTGGGCTTTGTGAGGCCATGCTGACCACCTCTCACCTCTGGAGGTGCTGGCCGGGCGCTGCCTGGGGCTCTCTTCCCTTTGCCAGCATTCAGGTCTCTGCTCAGATATCACCTCCTTGGAGAAGATTTCCCACCCAAATCATCTCCCATCATGCTCTATCAGCTCTTGGAGGAGTCGGGGGGAAAGTGGTGTCCCACTCACCCAGGATGATGACAACAGTCTTGACCAGGCTGAGCGTGGTCTCGCGGTAGCGGGGGTGACAGCTGACGTGCTCTGCCATGCGCTGCACTCGCCGCCGCACGTAGAAGAAAATGTGGGTGTAGACTGCCACCATGAGCAGGAAGACGAGCAGGCTGGACAGGGCCCAGACGGCCAGGTAGGAGCGGCTGAGCAGGGGGGCCATGCGTGAGCATTTGTCCAGGGCACAGAGGCAGTGCCAGGAGTGGGCGGGCAGCAGCCCCAGGCCCAGCGCGGCCACCCATACACCCACAATGAGCAAGACCACACGGCTGCGGGGCAAGCGACTGTGCAGTTGCATGGCCATCACACTGCGGTGCCGCTCCACAGCGATGGCCAGCAGTGTGGCCACTGATGCTGTCAGGCTTGTGTCCAGCAGGCCCTGCCGGACGAACCAGCCCTGGAGTGAGAGCCGGGCTGTGCGTGGGCCAGTGTGGAACATAAGGAAGAGGTAGGCTACGCCGGCAAAGAGGTCGGCTGCAGCCAGGTTGCCAAGCAGGTAGTAAATGGGCTGGTGGAAGCGCCGGTTGGAGGCGATGGCTGCGATGACCAGCAGGTTAGTCAGCAGCACCAGCACACTGACAGTTAGCCCCAGCGCCACCACAACCACATCTTTGGGCCGCCAGTGGAAGCTGAGCTCCTTGCCACTGTTGTTGTAGAAGAAGCCGATGGTCTTGTTGTAGTAACACTGGCCCATGGTGACCATCTGGGGGCACAGAAGAAAAGGTCAATGATGCAGGCAGCACCTGTCAGAAGGAGCAGCATCCGGAGCGGAGGATCAGCACAGGAAGGGCAAGGGTCTCAAATTCAAATGCCTCAGGGCAAAGTGGTGGGAGTAGGGACCAAGGTGACCTGGAAGTGGAGAGGGGCTCCATGAATTGGGGAGAGGGCGAGACAGCTGTCGCTTACTTACTAGTAAGACTCTTACAAAGATAGCTCCCAAATCAAATGACTGGCTGGGCTTATTTATTTATTTATTTTTATTTTCCAGTTAGTACTCCTTTTTTAACCTAAAACAAAACCCGCCTGCTCATGTACTGCCAATCTGAGTCCAATCTGTGGTGGTGGCAGGGGCGGTGAGGGCAGGACGAAGGGGTGTGAGCTGTGAAAGTAGGGGAAGGTCAGTTCGGTGTCTGAGTCACTGCAGAAAGCAGAGCCCAGGGGGCACGTGTGCGCAGGGTGGGGTCACTGCTGGGCCCCTGCAAGCGGTCAGTGCTGGGGCGTGGAAGTGGCTGAGGAGACCGGGGTGGGCTGCGAGACAGCCCCAGAAGTTGGGCTGAGGGATTTGGGCTCGAGCGCTCCTGAAACGAGCGGGGAATCGGGCCGTACCGGGTGGGATGGAGGACCCCGGTGGCCTCCGCAACAAAGAGGGCAGTCAGGGAGGCGGTGGCTGGCGGGGCCTCCTGCAGCCGCCACGCTAAGAGAGGACCGGGAGAGGGGGAGGGGAGGAGGGCGTGGCGCTTGGGCCCCGTGGGCACGTGCCGCGCCCTCCCCGGCACCCGCACCCACCCGCCCCCGTCCGTGCGGGCCTCACCTGGGCCGCCCGTCACGCTGCAGACGGGGCGGCCTCGCGGGAGTTCAGGGTGGGCGGGAGACCCATGGCTCAGCAACTGCTGCGGGAGAATCTGGGTGCGCCTAGCGCAGGCGGCAAAGAGAGCGGGAGGCGGGGTCCCGCCCCGCCGCTCCCTATCCGCGGGTCGCTAGCGCCCCGCCTCCGCCACCTGGAGCAGCCCCGCCCCGCCCTGTCCCTGCCACCTGGAGAAGCCCCGCCTCCGCGGCCGAGCTAGGGCAGGGTCGCCGGAACCACAGCCCCCTTATTTCCTCCCTGCCTCGCGGCCCCTCGGTCGCCCCTCTCCACTTCCGGCGCGGGACCACCACCCTGTCCCCGCACACCTCACGCGCCCGCAGTTTCGGGCCTTCGGGACAGCTAAGTCACTTGCAGCGGGAGAATTCCCACCGTGACCTCACGCCGCCCGGGCTCACCTCTGGTGGTCCCAGGGTCTGCACCCCCGACCCGGCCCCACCCCGCTCTCTCGCGTCCAATCCGCTTCCGAGTTCCAAGCCACGCCCTGATCCGACTGGGCTCCCACCGCCCGGACCCCCGCCCCATTCGGCTTCGCCAGCGCCGAGCTACTGCACCCCGCTGCCTCCCAGTACTCGCAGACCTGTGACCCCAGCTGACCATCCCACCGAATTCAAGTTTCTCGCAGCCCTGCCCCCGTCCCCGGCGTCGTTGTCCCCTGGCTTGCCCAAGCCTGTGGCGGCCTTGGGCTCCCACGGCCCAGAGCACACAGCCCCATTGTCCCGGTTATCTGCACTCTGTTCTCTTTGTTCGATTATGCAGGACCGGCTCAGGGACGCAGAGCTCTGGGAGGGCCAGGCCAGCGTGACTCAGCCCGGTGCCCAGGTCCAGCCCCGACTGCCTGTAGATACTCAAAGAAAAGGGGTGTTCGTTTCCCTGATGGGTAAAATGGGGCCTGAGAATGCTGCCCTCACCTGGCAAAGACAGACACTCAAGAGTATAAAGACAGTTTATTCAGAGGCCATCAGATTCCACGCACTACCAGGATGTCATCTGGCCTGTCCCTCTGCACCTCCAAGAGCTGGTCACTTGGGGTTAGCCTAAGGAGGCAGGCAGAGGTGGGGAAGTGGGAAGTGGCCACAACCAAAGTAGCAAAAGGCACCTCTGTTCCAGGAGTCTGAGACTGGGGTGGACCCCAAGGATCCTGTGACCTGTATTGAACCTGAGTATTGACCCTGAGTGACCTCTGATCCTGAGTGGCCCTGATGTTTGGCAGTGACCTGCGTCTCATGGGGTGATTCTGATCCATTGTCCCCAAAAATGTTTTAGTTTCCTCCTAGGCCATGTAGTTTTTCCTTATGAGAACTCTCCAGACCCCCCAACATTGAACTCCTAGGAAGAAATGGATCCATCTCCTCAGTCTTGGGCCACTTGGTCAGTGCTGGGAAAGTCAGAGATGGTCCTCGGCTTCCTCTGGGCAGCAAGTGGCTTTGGGCACAGGCTCGCCTTGCAGCTTGGAGAGCAGCCGGGCTGTTTCCTGGGTGATCTCAAAATGCTTGGGCAGCGGGGTGCGGCGCAAGGGGCTGCCCTCTGGAGAGGCAGTAGTAGGGTTGGGCCCCCTCCTCCGCAAGCTCCCTTGGGGCACTGATGTGACAGGGGTCTCCTCGCACAATTTGGAAGCCACCAGGGCCAAGCTGGACAGCTGGTGGGTGACAGGCCGCACACCGCCCCGGGGATACTTCACTGGCTGGCGGCTGAAGTGGCCACGGGACTGTGTCCCCAGGAGTGAGTCCTCGGGGCCTTGGCTGGACACTGTGGGATGGAATGGTCAGTGCTGAGCACCCCTAAGTCCTCTGGATATTCCCTTGGGAGTCATCTCTCAGCCAAGCTACCCCAGGCAGGGGCACCCCCAGAACACCCGAGTTACTCCTCAACACACTCACCTTCCCCTCTCTCGTCTTTGGTGTCTTCAGCCACTTCCTCTCTTGGGTCACTCTGTGGAGTTGGAATCTGCAGAGAGAAACCCAAGACCAAGATCCTAACAATAAAATCCCAGTTCTCTGAGACTTTTGGAGAACTGAGGGTTTGTTCCTGGACATGCAGTTTCCTTTGTAGTTTTGGTGTCTAGGGAGAGATGATGCCCTTAATTCGGGCACTGCTTGTCCCGCTGTGCAGAGCAGCATTAGTCTCAACTGTGGGGTCCATGAGGGCAGGAACACCCTTGTTTAGCCAAAGGCCAGGCCGGGTTGTGACTTTGTCATCTCCACACTAGGATAGGAATCTCCTTCCTGCTCTGTTCTCTGTGACCTTATGCCCACATTTTAGCTGTGTATTCTCTCTGTTCTGCCTTTAGTTAAATGCTAATAGCAGCTGCTGTTCTGTGTCAGATCCTGTCCTGAGCACTTTCTGAGCCATTCCAGTGCTCAGAGTCCCACAGTGCACCAAAAGCCCCTTTGCCGGCTCTGGGATGCTGTGTACTCAGGAATGGTAGGTGTAGCAGGAAATGAGGGACAGAGAAACCCCCATTGGAGTCTCACGTATAAATGTTTTTCACTAAAAGTATCCACCACTCAGGGCTGTGGCGAGGATGACAGTAAGCCTGTAAAGTACCTGTGCAAAGTAAGGTGGTGGCCCACAGGCTTCTCTTTCGCCTCACTTCCAACTACCTTCCCCTCATTACGGCATAAAGCCGTGCCCTGCACACAGCAGGCATGCTCCCACCCCAGAGCTGTTGCACTGGCTTTTCCGTTTTCCTGGAACACACGTCTCCTGATCTCCACGTGGCTTACTCCTCCTCCACATCTTTCCAGTCTTTGCTCAAATCCACCTTCTCCATGAGACCCACCCCTACCATCCTACTTACTGCTACAAATTGCCTGTCAACTCTCGCCGCGGCCTCAGTGGCCCTGATAGCTATTACCTATGTATGCTACTGTTTCTTTTCTCCATAGTACCTGTCACCTTGTAACATCCTACATAACTGACTCTATATATTAATTGTTTATTGTTGCTTTCTTTCCCAGGAGAATGCGGGAACCAAGAGAATGGGGTCTTTGAATATTCTGCTCACTAATATATCTGTAATGCCTAGAACAATGCTTGGCACACAGTAGGTGTTCAATACATATTCTGAAGGAATGATCATGTTATTACTTCTGCAAGGCTGTACCCTGTTGTTTCTCCATTACTGCCCACCACTCCATTCCTCACTCTTCCTTTTAGAACAAGAACAGGGTAAATAAGGAAGGAATGAAAGAGGAAATTTTAAAGGGAAAGGAAGGAAGACAGGAGAAAGTGAGAGGATGAAATGAAGAAAAGCCCCTCCTATCTGTGGGCCCAGTGGGTTCCTACCTTGGGGAGCATGGCCTCGGGATGCTTCTCCAGTGCACTTTGGGACTCTGGGTCTGGCTCAGGGTCTGAGGTCAGGGCTGGGGGCAGGGGATCTGGGGCAAAGCATGGGGGTGGTGGCTGGGGGCTGGTTGTGAGGGAGCCAGGGGCCAGGCTCCGGTCTTGAGGCAGGGGCTCAGTGGCCAGGGGGAGCTCGTCCATCCCGAAGATCTGCTCATAGTGCACGATGAGGAACTCGACAAGCTGGGCCTGGTGCCCAAAGTCCAGGAGGCAGGAGCCAGGGTCGGTGACAGCTGCTCCAGGACCATCTGGTGGCCGCAGCAGTGTCGGCCCAAACACAATGCCCAAGTTGTTCGCAGACATCTTGTTTTCCTCGAACTGTGCTGCCACCCTGGGGACGGGGTGAGGAGAAAGGTAAGGGCACAGAGGGCACAGAGGGCACAATCATTGGGTAGGACATGAAGGTCAGGCTAGCGCAAGTCATGGGTCAGTGGTCCTGGTCACTATTTGAGACCAGCAGCTACATGCCCAGCAACGGAAGTCAAGGGTAGGTACTCAAAGTCAGGAGTCATGTATTAAGGCTCAGAAAATACATGCAAAGGTCAGGGGTCAGTGTTATAGGTCAATAGTCACATGCCCAGGGAAGAGGCCACAGATCCATGCCTTAGGTCAGAAGGTCAGTGATAGTGCACACCTGAACAGATGGGCCACCAGGTGCCGCAGGGTGTTGTAGTTAGAGTCAGGCAGCTGCACCAAGAGGGTCTTCAGCAAGCGGATAACCTCAGGGCTGGGACTGGGGGTCCCAGGGTCGTGCCCAGGGTCTGCATGCAGGGCCTTAGCCAGAGAGATGAAGGCACCGTAGAAGTGGAAGGGGACCACGGGGTCAGTGAGCTGGGGGTGGAACGGCATGGGGGACATGAGTGTGGGTTGGCTGCAGAGGTTCCTTAGCCTAAGCCCGCCATGCCTCCTGCCCCCTGGCCTCTGAGCACCTACCTCCTGGAGGAATCGCTTGAGGACACTTGAGACATCATGAGGTGAGTTTCCTGACAGGTCCACCAATGCTCGGCCGTTCTCGAAAGCCTGGCACAGCCGTTCCACACGAACCCGGGACCCACTGACCCGATAAATGCCCTGCAGGTTAGGGTGGGAAATGGATACCTGGGTCGTTATCCAGCCATGGAGAGGGCTCGGTACAGCTGGGGATGGTCAGAGGTCAAGGGTCAAGGTGGCACCTGCACACCCAGTGCGCGCTGTTCTATCTCGGCTGTGCACCTGGTGACTACAAAGGGCACCTCTTCTGGGAAGTCCCTGGGCAGCTGCAGGAAGTCGACCCCAAAGAGGGATGTCCGGGCTGGGAGCCGCTTGTGTCCACAGAGGATGAGCAGAGTCTCGAGGCAGCGCTTGTGGCAGGTCAGAAAGCACTGGGGGAGAAGGTTATAGGGTCAGGGAGGTCATTGATGGTCAGCAGGGGAAGAGAAGGTTAGGATCCTTAGAGAATGGGAAACTTATGGGAAATCATCAAGGCTAGATCAAGGCTATTTCTAGGGACAGGAAGGTCATAGGAATATCAAGTCATGGAGGTGCATGGAGTCAGGGAGGTCATGGGGGTCAGCAGCAGAGGGCATTGGGTCATCGGCCCAGGCCACACCTCCTCACACTCGGTCCCGCTGACCATGAAGGCATCACACTCGCGGCACTTGGCTGGGCCCCTCAGCCGCCGTAGTCGGTGGGTCTGGGCTGCGCTGGACAGTGTCCACTTCCTGAAGGGGCTGCCTGACCCATTCTCGAGCCCATCTCCCAGATCTGTGGGAAAATAGGGTCAGGGGCCTGGTCCACCTGCCCCTGCCCCGCCCCACCTGCTTCCAGCCTCACCAGGGTCTCGCTCCTCAAAGTCGTCCGAGGACTCGGTGCCTGTGGACGAGACCTTCACCAGCCGCCTCATGCCAGGACCTGGTATCAGAGGGTCACATAGGTTGGGAGTCACACGGGTTATGAGGAGGCTCCAAGCTAAGGAGACATTCCTAGTTTTCAGGCCTTCCAGAACCACCCACAGATGCCCTTGGAGAAAGGGTCAGAGGTGAAGATGGGGGTCAGACAGGTCAGAGGTTGAGGAAATAGGTCAGGGGTGTAGGTAGGTCAGAGATCAAAGGATAGTTCAGAGATTGAAGAGCAGAGCCTGGCCAGGGGCTGAAGGATGATCACAGGTCAGGAGTGGGTCAGGGCCAGGTCCTGGCCCCACCTGGGCTGGAAGTAGGAGAGTCCAGGGACCGAGACTCACTGCCACCGCCCATGCTGTCCGCATCGCTGCCTGGAGTGGGGCCTGGAGTCCCTAGGAGGGGACAAGTCAGTTAGGAAGACCCTCTTCCCTGGCACCACTCCTGCCCACCCTGCACTGCACTCACCCTGCCAGCTTGTGCCTGTGTCCTCCCAAGGGCCTTGCTCAGCCACACTCTCATCCAGCCGTGGAGGTGAGGGGCCGGAGGGCTTTTTCCTTGCGTCTAGAGGGGAGCTGAGAGGAGAGATTTGAGGGCTCAGAACTAGGACACTGGCCAAGGTAACAGCACCCTGGGATCATGTCTTGGATCCAACTCCAAGTATTTGGGTCTGCAAGCTCTAATGTGCATGAGCATCGCGGCCCAGTGCCAAACCTCAAAGTCCTGGCTCTCCCAGGACTGGGACATCTCTCCCACAAAAAAAATGAGCCTTGGGTACTAAATCCAAGTACTGAAGCTTTGAGTTCTCAGCCCCATGATGCCAATGGCTGGCACCACGTCTCTGGGGCTCCTCCCTGCCCCTGCTCCTAGGGGCCCACCTGTGCGGGGCAGGCACGAACTCCTGGAAAGAGAAGGCAGGCGGTGGGGGCGGCGGGGCCTCTGGGTGCAATGCCCGCACGAACTCCTGGTAGCGCTGGCCGGGTTCAAAGGGTGCACAGCACTCTGCCAGGGCAGCGAAGGCACGGGGACCACGCTCTGCTTGTGCCCCCCGCAGCCCGAAGAGTCCCAGGGTCACCTGCCAGGTGGAGATGGAGAGGGGGAGGGAGGTGGAGGCAGGGAGCTGACCCTTAGAGGCACCAGCATTGTCAGGGTTTGGGGGCAGGTTGGGTGGGGGAGGTGGCTTAGGGACAAGGGCAGTCAGCTAGGGTGGGGACCTGCTCAGAGATGCGCTGGGTCATCCTGGGGGCAGGACCCCATGGGAGTGGGGCCTAGGCAGAGGTGCAGTCAGGGTCTGAGGGCAGGAACTGGGCTATCTATGGGGATGGAACAAGTCCTAGTATCCTGGAGGCAATTTAGGGATGGGGGTGGGGGAGAGGAGACCCGCTCTGCTGGAGCCAAAACGAGGAGGGGGCTAAGGTGAGGGTAAGGGTCTCACCCGCCTCATCACTTCATCCCCCTGCAGCACCAGCTTGCGAACATGAGACACGATCCGCTGCTTGGCAGCCTCTAAGTCCTGCTGCCTCGTGTTGGCCTCACGGACACAGGCCTGGTATAGTACCTCGGCTTCCTGCACCTGGAGAAACCGAGGCCAGAGGTGCATGTGGGAGACAGGACAGCGTGGGCAGAGGTGGGGGGCACCGAAGCACTGCGGGGGGCAAAGGGGTGAGGTCCCACCTTGGCCTGGGCCTCCTCTCGGGAGCGCCGCCGCCGCTCCTGTTGCTTGCTGGGTCCTGGAGAGGCCTGGGGGGCTGGGTCCTCGGGGGATGCCTGGGAGCGTACCCGCAGGTCCTCGCTGCGCTGTATATACTGGAGCTGGGCCCGCCGCAGCGCCTGTACCGCCTCGTTCTGGGGGCGGGGCAGGAGCACTGTAAGCACCCCTTCATCTCCTCCCCTAGCGCACTCTCATCCACCCTGAGCCTCACCATCCGCTTCTGCTCTTTCATCCACTGCTCCTTGAACTCTTTCCGCCACTTCTCAATTTCGGTCCGCTTGGCAGCCAGGGGCTGGCAAGGATGGAAGGCGAGGATGCTGCTTCAGGGCTTCAGGTACTTCCATCCCCTGAAGCCATATGCCTTTCATCCTCAGAACCCTTTTCTGGGTCTGCACTCCCCAGAGGTCTTCTCATCCAGACCTCCCCTAGCCTTGTGTCCCCACAGTCTTAGTGGTCCCCTCATCCTTTTCTGCCCGGACTTAGAGATGCCAAGGCTCTCTTCCTCGGAAAACTCAGTACCTCACGCTGTGCCCCACCAACAAGCAAAAGCACAGTTTTGCAATTGCACAGGAAGCCTGGTTTGAATCCCTGCTAGGTAACCTTGGGTAAGTTCCTTAGCATCCAGGGGCCTAAGCTTCCTCATTGGCCAAACGGCACTAATGGTAACAGTGCCTTCCTGGTGGGTGGTTGTGAACGACAGGGTTCTCTCACCTGGTAGTAGTCTCTTTTCTGCTGGGCCACTGTCTCTATAGCCAGGGCTCCCAGGCTGAGGTCGTGCTCCAGAAACAGGGTGTAGATATACTGAAGTGGCATGTGGCTCTGGGGGATGGGGAGGTGGTGGAGGATGTTGAGGATCTAGGAGGGTTGGGCTGGGGTTCGGGAGGGCTTGGGCTCTTGGAGGGGGGCTGGTCATGGTTACCTGCTGGTGGATTGACACCTTACCAGCCTCAGCAATCTTCATAATGCTTTTGGCAAATGCCAGCTCTGGAGGGAGACAGCAGAGGTCTGAGTCCGGTAGGGTGCGGGTGCTGCCTGGGGCCTGGGGCCGGGTGAAAGGGGCCCTCACCGAGGCTGGCTCTCTTCTCAGTCCAGGCCAGCAGCTCCTTGGCATAGCGGCTCCAGGTCTTGGCATACTCCAGGGCTGCGTCTACACCCCCCTTGGTCCGAATGAGCCGCAAGTCCAGTTCTTCCCCTGGGGCACATAGGTGGACCTCTGACCTTTGAACCCTGACCTCACATAGAGCTCTGACCATCCTTGAGCCCCTAGACCAGATCACTGGCCTTTATTTTATACCCAATAGCTCCCCCAAAATACCCCTTTGTGATGACTTGCCCAGATTGCAATGATTCCTCACCCAGACTAGAGGCTCCCTGAAGGCAGGGGCTCAGCTCTGTTCTGGGTGCTGTACTGTCCCAGGTGCAGGGGACAGACAGGCAGCGATGACTTGTTGAGGGAAGAACTTCTTTCTGCCCCCAACCCCTGGCCTCAAAGCCCCCTACCTGTAAGGGGTGCAGGACCCTCTGGGGAGGGGCCACTCCAAAGGCTGGTTTCATTGGTCTGAGGGGGAGGGAGACAGCGTTCAGGTGCTTGAAAGGCAGGGGCCCACCTCCCTAAAACCCCTCCTCTCAGAGGTCCCTCCTCCCTGCCCCCTAGGCCCCACAACTCACTACAGTAGCTGTGGGAGTCTTGTCAGGCTCTGGGTCTTCTGAAAGCGCAGGGTCTCCAGCCAGCATCTCAAGGGGCCTGGGAGGTAAGGGTGTCAGGATATCACCTTCTACCCAGCCTGTCTGCCTAGGGGTGCTGGGGACCACAGAGTAGTTTGTGGGATGGTCCTGGAATATCACCTCAGAGATATCGCTTGAATCTGGGAATTCTGAAGGATGTGTTTTTGGCGGCGGCGGCGGGGGGTGGGGGTCGGGCGCGGGGAACCAGGTGAGATTTTTTTATGGGACTTGAGACAGAATGTGAAGGGTTACAAGTAACTTTGGAGTCTATAGAGTAGGATTATAGGGATATCAAATGTTTCAAGGAGTCACAAGGATACGTGAGGGTTCTAGGACTACTCTGGGGATTTCCAGTGGATTTGGGGGTGACCCAGGCTCAGACTCACACGTTCCCCAGTGAGATCTCAAGGTTGTCCAGGCTCCGGAAGATGTCACTGTACCTCTTCCTGCTCTCAGGAGCTGGGAGTAGCCCTGGGGGAGGGGAGTGTCACACAAAGCCTCCCTCCACTCTTAGCACTTTGGCTGGCAGTTTGGAGGGTGGAGAGACAGAGAGAGGGGAACGATATAGACAGAAAGTTCTGACTCTGTGGGGAGTGTGGGATGGGATGGAGGGAGCTGGGCTTGGGTGGGGCTGACAACCCAACGCAGAAGGCAGACACCCACAAATGCATGGGCTCAGAAGAAAAGCAACAAAACAGATGCCCCAGATGCAGCCACACTGTCCCTAGGGGAAGAGAGCAGACTTGACAATGAAACCACAAGGATTTCAGGCCAGACAGATGGAAATAACACGTGGGACAGACAGGCAAGAGAGCTGTGGCAGAAACACACATAGGCAGACTGAAACTGGGAGAAACGTAAAGACCGACTGACACCCAACATGCACAGCAGAGACACAAAAGACAACCCCAAACACGAGTCAGACCTTGCCACATTTCTGCCACAGCACACCCCACCCGCCCCCTTCTAGGGGGTCCGGATCAGCACCGCCTCTCCCTGGGCTATGGAGGAGCGCGGTGGGGATCCTGAAGCGATGCCCTCTTCATCAGCCTTGTGACACCCTGCCCCCATTACAAATATCAGAAGCAGAAGCGGCCACTTCCCCTTCCTGGGCCCTCTCCCCCAGGCATCCGGGGTGAAGACTCCGTAGGGGGAGGGGGTCAAAGACTGGTGTCCCGGGCCCCTCTAGGATTAGGGGATCCCCACAATGGAGAATTCCCATGTCCTCCCCATTCAGGAACTCCTCTTCCTGCTCTATAGACAGAGACAACCGTGGTCCCTCAATTTAGCAAGTGGGGTACGGCCGGGGGATGCCCCTCTCGGATCCCGTATCCCGGACCGCCTACCCGGCTCTGCTGCGTCCATTGGCCCGGCCCAGGGACTGCTCGGCGGGGACTGGGATTGGGATGAGATCGCGCGCGCCGGCGGGGCCTAGCCCCAGATTTCCTGCCGGGCCGACGCCTCTTGACTTCTGCATCGCCCCGCCCCGCCCTGCAGAGGCCCCGCCTCATCCACGCCCTCAGCGGGAGGCCACGCCCCCAAAGGCCGGAAGCAAAGACCACAGCCTGGCCGACGAGTCGCCAGATACTGTCGGGCCAGTGCCTACCGGGCGGCTACTCCAGGCTGAAATGCCACAGACCTGGACACTCCAGGACTCCATCCCAGCCAGGGTTCCCTTACCAGCACACTCTTCCCAGAGTGATCCCAGAGTCAACCTGTTCCCGAACCTTCCACACGCCCAGTGACCGCCCTGCCAAGGGGTCTCTTGGACCCCTGAACCTATTCCGCCCGACCAGAGCCATGGAGCCCCTGGTACAGGCCTGTTGTCCAATTTTAATTCCAGCTGAACCTCCCCGGTGACCTTCAATGCTAGATCAGGCTCTTGATTACAGTGCAGCCAAAAGCACCACTAACACCTCTCTGGGGGCACATAGATCCTGACCTGAGGCCCCAAAGAATCATCCCTGGCAAACCCAATTCTAGAGTGCTCCCCTCCAAGTCATCTCAGATTGCATCAGGAATTTGTTGCCCCCTACATTCCACATGACCACAGCAACCCCTCTGAGGAGTGGGACCTGGGGTCACTACCCCTCTGGAGACCTTGGCCAGCACTAAAGGCCCACCTTTAAGGATGCTCACGAACATCCTTAGCTGGCCCCTCTCACTTCTCAAGGCCTTCCTTGGACTGCAGGCCACATTCCACTTGATGGGGAAGCCAGACAGGGGTGGGCTGCTGAGGATGACCAAGAGGTCTGCGCTGGAAAGGGTTGAGTGCTCCCCACTGAGCACTGGGTTTGGAAGGTTGCCCTGAAGGCTGACCTGCGTCTGGTAGCCTGTTGTCCAATGCAACTTGTCAGTTATAAAAATGTATCTCTATCCTTTACTCATACTTTCTAGATGGAAATGACTTTATTTATAACTTTGCTTTCTAAAGGTTTTGGCTCTTGAGAAGGCAAATCTCCGACTGGCTGTGACTCTCAGTTCTCATGCTGCCTACATACTCTGACGTACTTCAGTTACAGTGAGTGAGTGCCTTTGAAAAGAAGTAGTGTCAGTATGAAGGCTGAGAAGGCTCCTAGTAGTGTCAGTATGAGGGCTGAGCACCTTCCAGGCTGCTAGGTCAAAGCCTGGCTCTGAGATGGCACAGCACCTGTGTGGCTCAGGACCTCAGGTATCCAACGAGTGTGACCTGAGTCAGTATTTGTAATGATGTGGGAATGCCACCCATCTTAAGACCACCCCCCACCAGCCCAAGTGTGTGTCAAAATGTGAAGTTGAGACCATAGAAGTATGGGAGTGCTTATTAAACCTGGAATTAGGCAGAGCTCTCTGTGTTACAAGATCAGCCCACCCAAGTGCTATGTTGCAGTATCATTAACAACCTCACACAGCCTTCTAGGATTATGCCAGGACCTTCCTCGGTGACCACCCAGCCTCCTGGTGACCCCTTGATCGGTGCAGACAGAGGTGGAGGCAGGGCTTCTTACAATTGTGTATGCTGCTTTATTTACCAAAGATGCTGGCTGGGGGCTAGTCTGCCAGCCAGGCCCGCGGACAGCCATTGTGGAGGGGGTGGTCCCAGCTCAGTCTGGTGGGCAAAGCTGGGCCAGCCTTGCTGTGGGGGCAGTGTTCCCTCCCGGGGCCCACATGATGCTCCTGCCTGGCGGCAGCAGGACAAACAACAGAATCTGGCACAGTCGTCTCAGGAAGGCACTTTCAGCTTCGGTGTCCCTAGGAAGAACTGCAGGATGCGGTCAGCCAGGAGTGCCAGGCAGAAGTCAAAGATCAAGACCTGGGCGATGACCAGCTTGAACTGCAGGGCAAGGAGTGATAGTCAGCTGGGTGCCCACTGATGAGCCCAGGCTGTGTCCCAGGGCCACGTCTACAGGGTTACTCACCTCCACGGGGATGTCCACGAGGCCAAACTGGCTGTTGAAGTCGGGTGAGGAACCAAGGAGCAGGCCCACAATGGCTAGGAGAGACACGGCCAGGCTCCACACCAGAGGCCTGTTCTCGGGCAGGCTCTCCATGAAGGGAGGGCCCTGCAGGGACAGATGGATGGACTGCTGTGTGTTGTGGGGGCTAAGCAGGTGGGTAGAACATGCTCAGGCTGGGGCTTTGGCTCACCTTGTAGTTGATGGCAAATGTGGCCATCTGCATGGCCATGGCCATGATGTACACGGTGCTGTTGACCAGGCTTGGCTCAAACTCTTTATACAAGTCCACAAACTGCTCCTGCCTATATGAAGCGTGAGATCAGGGCCTTTTTATGGCTCCCGCAGCCCCTGCACATAACCAGGGCTTTGCCTGACCCTGGTTGTCCCCGGCTGACTTCTGCAAGTGCATCCTCCTCCCACCTCCCACCACAGGGATGCTGCCGGCTCTGGGTGCCCCCTGCAATACCTGCTGGGGCAGTACTCACTTCTCAGGGCTCCGGGCCTGGGCCTCCCTGTACAGGTACACGAGACTCAGGAAGTGCACGCAGAACTGGAGTAGGACCGTGAGGATGGTGTACAGGTTGAAGATATTGGGCAGGGGCCGCTCTTGGGACAGGGTCTTGAGGGGCTGCAGTGGTGGCGGGGGTGCAAAGAGATGGATGGGTGTCAAAGCCCAGAGAGCCTTCCGCAGGCCTGGTGCAGGGCGGTCACCACATCCTGAGGCTACAGGTCAGCACCAGCCCCCAGAGCCCGGCTTGCCTGTGGACAGTGCTGGGGCCCAAGCTGTGCCACTGGAAAGAGTCTCAGTGGGCACCTGCCCTGCCCCACAATCATCCCCATCTGTAACATGGGGACCATAGCTCCCACCCTGAGGGCTGTTGTGGGGAAGAAATAAGATAATACATGGCGGCCCCTCTAACGTCTTGTCCTGGCTGGCCCAAGCATCCCTGGTCACAAATCCACGAAGCCTATCAGCACCTCCAGGGAGGGTGCCATGGCTCAGAGAGGCAGAGGGTGCCCTTGGCTAAGGTGGGAGCTATTGCTTTGCCTGGGGTCCCAGCCTACCTTAGAGCGGGAGATGAAGAGAAAGCAGCCAGCCAGCAGTAGCCCCTGCAGTGTGGCCTGGAAGTCGCTGAACTTGACACCCTCCAGGTAGAGGACGCTCTGACTATAGGCCAAGATGAGGGCGTTGAGCGCCAGGATTTTGAACATCTGCAGTGTGGTCACGAGCGTGCAGCGGCCCTGCTTGATCACGTGGCAGACTGCGCAGATGGGGGGAGGGGAGAGGCAGGTGTGGGCATGGGTGCCATGCAGGGTGGGCAGGGGGGACAGGGTAGGTGGCAGGACTCACTGCACTGAATGGATGAGAGCTTGGAGGTGAAGGGTGCGGCAATGCTGGCATCCCCCAGTTTCACGATGGGCATGCTCTCATCCTCCAGGTCCCGCAGCACCTGGCTCAGGCGGTCCTGTGGGGTGGGAGGCAGGCAATGAGACTGAACCACAAGGGGGTGCTGGTGCCCCTTTCCCAAGACTCACCCTCTGAGAGGTGGGCTGTTCCTCTGGGGGCGGGAGCCCCAACCTCTGCTTGGCTGCCCTGGAATTGGCTCTGATACCGCTGTTGCTCAGGATGGGGCTGTCCCGAGGCCGCCGCCTCCGCTCGATGACCCGTTCAGGGGCATTGGCCAGAAGTGCCACACCTGGGGGGTGTGTGCATTAGGATCTAGTAGAGTCCCCTGGCTTCGGGCCAGAGTGTGGTATCTGCTCAATGCCAAGATGGAGCCAAACTTCCCCAAGGAACACCTTGGAGAGCATCTATTTCATTTTCTACAAACTACTTAAAAACCAAAACTCATAAAATACAACTCTAAACGGGTCAAAACCGATTTCTAAAGTAGTTTATTGCCAAGGATCATGATTCTAAGAGGTAAATACTACTCAATAAATGTAGTCGATAAAAAAAGCCAAAAAATATGTTCTGTCAACACTGATCCAAGGCTGGGAATCACTGGCAGTGCTTCCGCTCCGGTTATGCATCCCCACTTGTTCCATTTCTCCCTGATCTCTGTGCCCAGGGGGCCTGAGCAAACCAAGTCACATTTGCCCCACAGAGCCTCCCTGGCTCCCCAAACTCTCCCCATCAGACGCACTGTGCCTCAGACACCTGTGTCTGTCCTTCCTGCCCTTGCAGACCCTTGAATCCCCAATCCTACTGGCTCTGCCACATCCCCTTGCTGCTTGCTCATGCCTGGTGACTTGTTCTCGATGCTGAGCCCAAACTGGCAGAACAAGGAACAGCCCCTGCCCACAGGGCTCACCCACGTCAGCGTGCTTCAGGGCACCCACATCATTGGTGCCATCCCCACACATGAGGGTCACGTAGCCCAGCTCCTTCAGGCTGGTGATGACAAACTCCTGTGTGGGCAGAGAAAGGCCAAGTGAGGGCTACGTGCTGCCTCAGGTTCTCGCCCGAGCATCACCCCTGCACCTACCTTCTGTTTGGGGGCCACGCGGGCAAACACCTGCACATGGGGGATGAGGCGCAGCAGCTGCTGGGGGTCCTCAGTCTGTAGGTGGGCCAGGCCATCGCCTGTGAGGCACAGCGCATGCTCCAGGGCCAGCGCCTTCGGGGAGCCCTGGACCAGGGGCAGCACGATGCTGCCGTCGATGGAGCACCACTCGCAGGGTTGACCTGCAGGGCCGGTGCCCAGGGTCAGGGATGGGGCTCAGCTGCCCAGGCAGACCTCCTCACTCAGATCCCACATGCCCGGTCCTAGCCTCTCCTTTCCGGAGCACCTTCCTGACTCGGCCTTCCTTATCTCTCCATAACTACATCTACACCTACCTATATCCTGGACCCCTGGGTGCCCCACAGAGATTGTCCATAGAACCCTTCAATACGGATGAGGGATCCTAGAACCTGGGCATATCCCCAGCCTGTTAATTAGCCCACCCCTGCGCCCCTGCCTGAAACTGCACTCTCCCAGGGCCAGGACACCCTGAGTCACTTCCTCTGGCCCGACACTTGCTATCTACTCCCTCTTTC